AATGCAAAATGTCTGGAACTCGAATGCTTCAAGAAGACGACCTCTGCTTTGTAAATCGAAGTAGACGTCGATGTCATATTTCTAGATAAAATTGTTATTCTTCAGTCGGTCAAGGTCGTTCTAGATCAAAAAGAAAGAAGCCAGTGACGCAGCTGACCGCCAGCATATTTGTTTTCTCTCCGCAGTGGCACTGACGGCACGCCTGTCCAACTTTATTCTTGTGTTGAGAGCATATTCCCCTCCTCCTCCCTCCTATCCATATTCTCCTGCCAGAATGCTCGAATCCTTGTTAGTAATTCGGTGTATTTGCAGTTGATGTTGTTCCCTGCATCGATTTGAACTAGCATTTCGTTTTTAGTGTACGTTGTCCACAACGATAGTTGCATGCTGGACGCTCTGTTAGATAAACAGTTCCTTGGGCGATTTTTGAAGAGTTTATTTCATAATGATAATAATTATACTACATGTATTGTACTACTACGCCAACTGAAGCTCGTTTGTGAAGTTACAGAAGTTTTGTATTGTAGCCAGATTTAGATATGCCCGGATCTGTGGTTCTCGATCGTTCATTCATTTACACATCGCCATTTGTGGATCAAATTAGTCAGGATCGCGTGTTTTCTTCCACATTCATTTCTTCCACAGTTTCCACTATATCCATTGCACGTCTCACTTGATTTCACTCAAACTTGCAAGCATACCTGCATCGCTCTTCAACTCATTTTGAAACTTTAGCCAGTAATCTGACCAGACACCCTTGTGTCCAACATCGAACTCTTGACTAATTGGTGCATTTTGGAACTTTAGCCAGTAATCTGGCTAGACATCCTTGCATCCAGCATCAAACGCTTGCGTTTTATTTCAACGCCAGAACATCCTCCATCTATAAACGTCGAACGCTTGCGTTTGAATCCGAAACCCTATCTCGATTAACGTCGAACGCCTGCGTTTGACTCCAACACATCTATCGATCAACCTCGAACGCTTGCGTTTGACTCCAACACATCTATCGATCAACCTCGAACGCTTGCGTTTTATCACACGACATGTTCCCTGAACGCAAGACCACAGACAATCACCGCGACGACTACGTGCGTTCCGACAATCCTAAACCCAAGAGAATCGTCAGAACACCGAGAATGACAGCACAGAAGCATGCTTATGCATTTATTATGCCTTCAGGTAAGTCTCAAATTCTTTATTTCTCATTTATTCTGACTCAGAGCATACAAAAGACGAAGCAAGCACCTCATCAGAAGCCTTGCCGTGGGGACAGGAACAAGACTCTTGGGCGAAAGAAAAGGCAACGACGCCTTCAGAACCTTTGTCTTGGAAAGAGAACCCATGGGAAGAGGCTGATGTTTCACCCGCCACGCGACCAAAAAAATCTCCTTTAAGTAAGTGGATTTGAAACATCGTTATTGTCATCTAACGTTCGTATTTAGTTGTGACCGGGGTTGCGCGGCCAGGCCAGTTTTGGCCAGATGGACAAGAACCCCCCATGACGGGCCAAAAAAGGTCAAAACGCGTCTTCAAGACTAGCGGAAAAGATCACCCGCGAACGGAGATTACAGGGAAATATGCTGAAATCGCGCGGCTCAAAGAAAAATCCCGCTCGTCTGAAAGGTTCACACCTAAGACCGGAGACATAGTCCTCTACCACGACTACTCAGACTACGAGGACTCTGAAGATGACTTATCCGAAGATGTAGAGATCTACGACGGCGTGCATGTCAGTTCAGGTCAGGCACTCGTTCGATTCGGTAAACAAGTCGCTGTCGACACGACTCGTGATGACAAACACGACGATGCGGAAGTTCTTACGGCGTCATCTTCAATTCTCCCGCCTTCACCCACCCGCCCCACGTGGTTTTCCCTCCTCGAGCAGTCGCATCACCCCAGCGCGTCGAACTTCACCAAAACTGCCCAGGAGTGGATCAATCAAGGCAAAAAATTCCCTCCAAATCCCACAGCGACTCCATACATTCTCCAGGAGCTCTGCCAGTCAATAATGACAATCCCAAAAAGGATTTTAACTATGGCTCTTCCACCGCACGACATGCCGGTCCAAGGTTTATTCCAATTTCCAATTGCTCCCATCGACGAATGGCGATATACTCCGGCCATAAAATTCGAACGTCACTTGCCTACAGACGAGGTTTTTCACACTAAAGAACTACCTCGCAAGGTAGACGTTCAACGACTTCATGACGATGTCGGGCAGGCGATTTTGGATGGGATGTGCTCTATACGTGATCCGCGCTTTCCGGACTCACTATATCCTTTGTGGACGATCGAATTATGGTGGCAGTTGCACTGCATACAGAACAGAAAGGATGGATGGATGGCTGCGAGGGAGTGGTTACAACAGAGAATGGCAGGACGCATCGATGAGCAGATATTTCATGAGGCAGAGAAGCAGCTGCTCATCCTGCCTCATGATAAGCAGTTACACGGCCCGGCCGCTATCTCAGGCAGAAGAACTCAATTTCTGATGCTGTTTTTGTCTGACGACAAGTGGATGTCAGACTCTCTGATCGACATGATGATAGCAAATCTCAACTCACGGCTGGCAACAATTAAACGGCGCGACGTGAATATCGTCTCCACTCACTTCTCTGACACCATAATTTCTGCTCGCGATAGTGCGTACAGCCATGAGATGTTGGCAAGCATCAAAAGGGACGTCAAATTCAAGAGATATCTATACTTTCCCGTGCATCTTCGTGTATCGAAGCATTACATCGCGTTTGTAATCGATTTTCATGACAGAACCTTTGCCTATGGTGGGTTACAACGTTCGTTCAACTTTTATTACGCAGACTGACTTGCATATAGGAGACTCTCTTAATCTCAAACCCCGGCCGGATGTCATCATAAATAAGCTCCAAAAGTGGCTCTTCAAATGTTTTGACGGGGAATTCAAGGATCTAGGAGCTACTTTGGCTCATGGTCGCCAGGTGGATTCGTCTTCCTGCGGGCTTTTCGCCATCAACACCATCGAGCACCACGTGTTTGGATCTACGCTGGGTATCCCCAATCCCGCTTCTGAGAGAGCCAGATGGTTTGCTCTGACTGCAGGAGACCAGAACCGATCTCCTCCAACCTTGCCAGAGCGACCAATGGCCTCGGACGTACCCACCCAAGCAGAGAGCGCGTCTGACGCTATTTGTCGCTCCAAAATGAAACACGCGTTCCTCGTAAAACAGGCAATGAGACAAGCCGAGCGGAAAAATTGTCAGCGGACGGGGGAAGAGATGGAAAGGATAGAGCAGGAACAACTAGAGCGGGAAAGGATGGAGCAGGAAAGACTGGAGCAAGAAAGACTGGAGCGGGAAAGACTAGAGCAGGAAAGGATCGAGCGGGAAAGACTGGAGCAGGAAAGGATCGAGCGGGAAAGACTGGAGCGGGAAAGGATCGAGCGGGAAAGACTGGAGCGGGAAAGGATCGAGCGGGAAAGACTAGAGCAGGAAAGGATCGAGCGGGAAAGACTGGAGCGGGAAAGGATCGAGCGGGAAAGACTGGAGCGGGAAAGGATCGAGCAAATACAACTCGAGAAGGAGAAGGAACAGTCCAATGAGATGTGCGATGTCGTTATGACCGACAACACCCAAGGATTGGTGGACGACAATGACAACGGGATGAATGCTGATCTGTACCGCATAGGTGTAGTATCGCATTCCATGGAGATAGAACCAAATGAGATTCCCTGCAATCTCAATCCAGACGCTATCCCTCCCTCCAAAGGAAAGGCTACTGATACCAGCCTTCACACTCCCGAATGTCGCCGCACCAAGCCATCACGTCGAAATTCCATATCACCTACTCGCTATCCATCATCCTCCTACACAGATCATCCTTCTCGTCGGCCGATTTCTCCTAGACCGCAGTCCTACAGAGAAAATTGTTCGTCTCGGCGGGACCGTTCAATGTCTCCTCGTCGACGTCGAAATTCTATATCGCCTACTCGCTATTTATCATCCTCCTACACATATCATCCTTCTCGTCGACCTATTTCTCCTAGACCGCAGTCCTATAGAGACTATTGTTTGTCTCGGCGGGACCGTTCAATGTCTCCTCGTCGTGGTCGCCCACGTTCCCCTGATAGTTCAAATAGGGACTACTGTTCGTCTCGGCGGGACCGTTCAATGTCTCCTCGTCGTGGCCGCTCACGTTCCACTAATCGTTCAACTCGCCGTCGTCGCTCACCATCACCATTCGGAGTTCGAGCAGGATACCAGCGGTCTGTGCGTCATCGGAGTCGCAGCCCTCCAAAACGGCGTCGTTGTATGTCTCCATTTGAATGTATCATCACCATAGACTAATTTCTTTCTTCACAGCGCGCTCTCCTGATCGTGGCTCTTCATCAGGGTACAATCGTTTGACCAACCGACATCGTGAGTTTCGAGTTTCATCGAGTTTCGTAATAGAAATAACGTTCAACATCTCTAGCTCTTGTGTCTGGCTATAGTGCCGTAGGTACTTCTACTCAAGCTTCTGATACTGCACAATCAGTACCTGGCCCATCTTCTGGCCCTTTACAACCGTTGCCTGATGCGAGCGTCACGTCGGGAGGTGCAAGCTCAAACCAGACGGGCCCCATGACCGCTATGGACACCGCGAAAACTCGTTGGATCATCGATCGAGCACCATTCCTTGCCATGCCCAATAATACCCCCCTATCAGTGTCACTGGAAAACCCCCTGTTGCAAAACCGACTTCTCCACCTGATATCTGAATCCCCGCCTCACCTTCTTCACCTCGTTTCTCGGGGTATATCCATAGTTTCGAAGAGGACGCAAATAAGATTGCGCCTGTGGGAGCTTCAGTATCCTAATGCACCCGGAGGGTTTTTCGCCGTCCGCTGTCTCTCCCGGGGAATAGACTGGCAAGTATTCGTCGATCCAAATGGTCTTGCAAGACCTCGTCAGCTCCATACCCCTCGCCCCACCTATCTCGATCTCATTTATCCACCCTTGGACAACACCCAGATTGCATCCTTTCAGTTTTATGAGGATAGGGTCCGGGAACTACTCCTCCTTCCATACGCCCGGCGTTTTCTTACAATGGGTGGTATTATATGGCGCATAGCATTGCATTATGGACCAGATCATCTCTTCTCAGCTGCACTGTCTGGACCGTCCACCGATGCCTATGTACATGGAAACATCCAGCGTAATGGCACGCACATAGACGATGCGGTGTTCCCGCAAGACATCCAACTTCTTCTGGGTGTCGCCGCAGACAATTCTAGCTTATGGCCTCCCCTTGATATTTTTGACAGGTACCAGAAGTGGACAGGAGAGTGGACGGCACTATGGGAGACGTGGTTCATGGATCGTGTTTCCATGATACATAACCGGGATTTGAGCGCATTTGCCCCTCGAAGTGATTGGAACGTCATATATCGTCGACATACCATGGTTAAGTTTGCCGCGCCTACTACGCATGGAACAGAGGCTCAGGCAAACGAATTGTGCAGACAACTAGATATAATGGGATCTGCGGCGGCTTAGTTTCCTCATCATTACGGTCGTCTGTCTTATATCTACACCAGTACTAGATGACATATGGACTGATATCGCGTACTTGTATATAATCGCGTATATGTATATAATAGACACTGCAGGCAGTGAAATGTATAATATTAGGCATATATGACATTATTTACACTCAGGGAGCAAGTCGGCGCGGTGCTCCGACTATGATTTTGAATCGAAGTCGCAGAAGTCGCAGAAGTCGCAGAAGTCGCAGAAGTCACAGAAGTCGCAGAAGTCCAAACATGGACAAATGGTAACTGACTTACCATTCCTGGAATATTAGTGTCAACTTTTGACTATGTAGATCGCTACTCTGCACATCAGACTAGTCATCCCCGGGACCGTAAAGATTCCACCCGGCCCTCATCCTCATCGTAGTTACTGCCAGGTGGCTAGAACAGGACAAGCAAGCACCACTAACATCAATTTTTTTTCTGAGAGCAGGACATGACCATGATACTATCAGCGGTGGTGAAGTAACACAAGAGACGTACCATGGACCACTTGAGAACGGGTCATGCCCGGTCGATCTAATACCATGGAACAAGCAGGTATGCTCCAATTCTTTGTCATCCTCGACCCGACAATATCACTGGAAGTATGCGTGTTGTTCGGTGCGTCAGGTCATCGAACAATTCTTTATTAAGAGTCTTGATATTACACATAGCGTAAAAAAAACTCTAATCAATACACCCATCCGTCATCATCGCTCTCAGCTTCGCAACCTCTACACGGGGAATGACATCGATGTCAAATGGCGCTGCATGAGAAATGACCGCATCATTGAAAGCGTGCGTGTTGATGGGTGCATCAGGTCGTTGAACAATGCGGAAAGACCACAAAAGAAATGCGAGGGTAATGTACAACGATTGATTCGCGAGGTGCAGGCCGGGACATACACTTTTGATGATAAGTGAACTTCGTTGATCGGCCTGAAAATCGGCGTCGGAACGACTTACCGTCTACCAAAGCCAAATGTGATGAATTTCGTATGATCGTCATTAAGGCGGCCTTCTGAATCAAGCCAGCGCTGAGGATTAAATGTTTCAGGAGCTGGGAAGACAGTAGGATCGCGAGAAAGAGTCCTGAAAACATGTGCTTAATGAAACAATGTATACCGTGAAGCAACGCCATACCAATGGCAGCCGTAGACAGTTGCACCCTTGGGAATGCAGTATCCTCGCTGATTGCACGCAGGCTAGAATGAGAACGTGGGTTACAACAGATTAAGACACTGACCCACAAAATATCCTTGGTTGCACGGTGGGGAAATCCTGAGCACATATCAGTATCGTTCAGAGCGTGCCAAAATTCGAATTTACCTATGCGGACGATAGGTCTCCACCTCAAAGTTTCCAACAAGAATGCGTGCAATTGGGGAAGGGAGCTCGAGTCATTGAAGGTCGGCGCTATATGAGAAATTAATTGAGAAATCAAAATCTTTGTACCCCTTTGATTTCGTATTACCTCTGTCTGACCCGATCACTGTGTCTAGCTTGATTTTCGATCATAGTTTTCGGCTTAAGTTAGTTTGTATGATATTCAATTGATTTTCATTGACAAAAGTGCAGCTTCAGTAGGGCAATTGTAAGTGGATATTCTAATAACAATCTTGGATACCGTCGCTGATTCTCGTTCGTTTCTCAGCTTCCAGCAAAGGCAGTTGTCCACATTTGCTTCGCCCTCTATGGCAGTGAGTGTTTTGGTTCATCAAGAGGATTCTTACCCGGAATTGCAGATTATCGCTGGCATCAGCCAAGGCTTCGCATCAATCGCGAACATCATCATCTTTATTGCGATGTGTTGGTCATTGCATCCAGCACATTATCCGGACATGCTCCAGTCGGTGCTTCGTATCATAAGCAAGCAACTGTTGACACATTGTTTTTAGGCCCGAGGGGGTGGTTGAAAACCTCGTTGTACTGTTTGTTGGCCGTGGCCTGGGACTCGCGTAGGTTTACTCCGCGTCTGATTTTATAACCTAATCATGTTTCCCTTGGTCAGCATCATTCAGCTGGTGTATCTTGGCACAGTACGTGGATGCTTCATAAGCATACATTTATGACTCATCTGTTTAGTTTGTTGCATCACCAGGAAAACCATATTGGATAGCGATCCAGATGGTGACCCCCAGGAGTGAGTTTTTGTCACCCACTCACCTCGCGTATAGGCTCATGGCAGATCATAGTTTACGCTAATATTGTCTTGGGACTGTAAGTCATTTACCTCACAGCTCATCGGACACCGTGTTCCTATTTTTTTCTCAGCTTGACCGCCCGGGAGGTCAAACACGGCGTCGGTCTCAACGAAGAAGACACCTTGTCTGATCGACACGATTCCCAAAACGATGCTTTCCAAGGCTCGCTCCGCTTCCGCGGCAGAAAAGCAGTGAGTTCACATGCCTCGAGACCCAGCTAACATCAAGCTGACATACCATCAGACGCAGCAGTCATCGAGCTTTTCGCAACAAGGGGAGAACAGCAGGAGTACCAAAATTGAGGAAGCAAGGAAATCATATCCTGATGACCAGAACTTGGTGCATTCGTGCCATATGGCATTGAAGACGTCCCCTGATCTTACAGATTTATGCAGAGGTCCGTTCATTTAAGTCATTGCAGCGAGCAACATGCATATGACGAGAGGGGCTTGTCATAATCTGGAATTTGCGATTCGCTGGTCGCATGCCTATTAATATCATTGTACTAATCGTCGCTGTCGTCCCTCCCGCACTTGCATTCGTTGCTTTCGCTTCTCGCACTCACTTGTATCATATTGCCGTCGGTGCTACAATCGACGCAGTGCATACTCTACATTAGTCCCTGCTTCTTGAAGCAGCTCGGACTTGGAAGACACATATTATATCACGGACTCACGGATAACATAGCGTATATCGCACATATCGCACATACCAAGTATTCACATTTCAAGACAATTATTCTGGGAATCAAGTCTTTTAGCTTTCAGAACCGCACTTTTTAGACGTTGCCAAGCATTTTATCCGAGGCGAATGGCGTCCACAGGTTTGAATGCTAGCGCTATATCTTCACATCTTCACTCGACGCTCGGTATGCGAAATAAAAACCGGAATATGCAATGAAATGTGGGCGTTCAACGTAACAGGTGCGTTAGCAAGGTGGATAATGAATCGAAGTTCTATACGTAATACCAATGAGCGACACGGCGTAGCAAATCGGCAGGACGCCCAACGCGGGCCCGGACGAGTAAAGCAGACGCCCGCTTAGTTATGCCATGCGACGCTCCACTTACTCATCACAGCCTCCACCAAGCACTCATCTCCTCTCGTGCTCCTGTAGGCTGTTAGTAACTCATACCTACGAGTTCATCGAGTGCGTACGGCAATGTTTGTAGTGGGTCGAGCTCGAGGACGTAGGCCCTGGCGTATTTCACAATATGACTCAGATATCTAGTAGCAGGATGCTGTAAGATGGAACGACACCATAGGCTGGAAAAAACATGTGAAATGGAGTGAACGCGGCCTTCTGTCGAACTTTCTTATCACTATCGAAGTAGTCCATCAGATGTGCAAAGATGCACCTGGCGCTAAGTCGCAATCCTGTGCGCTTCGCCCACAGCAATCAAGTGTATCTAGCAGCTACTCCAGCCTATCATCACATTACTCCTTCGAACGCATGTACGTAGCTTACTGCAATATCACTTCTCCATCCAACAGACTTCCAAGATCCTTGTGTGAACAGGATGCAATGGACTCGCCTTACATTTATCCTCTATTGGGCAGGTGGCAGGCCTCTTCCTATGTCACATAATAAATCTGGTGCAAACTTGAATATGCTGAAGCATAACGAAAGCCAACAACACTAAAAACAAGGGTAATACAGTGTCAGGCCCGACATTCCATTCACGCACCTAGGATCCGCTAGTAGCACTCGCTTACCATCCGCACTCCAACACACTGACGTCACACATTCAGTGTGGCCTGTCCATTTTGCGACGACCTTTCCCGTCCCGATATCCTACAACTTCACTTTCCCATCCGAACTTTCGCTGACAATAGTCTTGCCGTTTGGAGACAATGCCATGCTGTACATCGCTATTTCTTTATCCTCCTCATCGCGCCAGCCCTCGCCTATCTATCTGCTGCTTTCCAAGTCCCATAGTCGTAGTGAGCCATCCACAGAACATGTCATGATCCGTCGTCCCCCTGGCAAGTGCACAACACCGAATACCCTGTCGGTATGGCCTTTCATCGTCTGACATGGTGTGACTGCTGGCGTCTTTTGCTTCTTATTTGTCGGTAAGGACATGGTTGGCGCGAGGGATGTCTCGAGCATAGCGGATGTAGTGCGCGAGAGAAGCTCACCAAGATCTTAGAATCAAAACGAGTTGTCTGGTGACGGCAAATATTTCTGGTGAGTCAACCTGCCTAACTTGTTTCACCTTAGTTCTCGCTAATGTAAACGCACAAGTGATCGCTTACCAGACAACTTCTACACTGTATACAGGAGCTGCATAGAATGTACAGAGATCTTGGAGGGTATCCAAAGTTGCTTGTGAGCAAGTGTATATGTTGCAGAAAAGTTCAGAGTATCAATGACTCACGAGAACTCTAGACACACCCAGCGCTCAGATCACCATTGATAAGTGGAAGTTTGGGTTGGAGTTGATGAAGTTGGGCTCTGCCTGTGTTTTAAGGTGCGTCAAATGCATTATCGCTTCACAAATATTCATGCAAGATAGACAGTCAGATTCGAGCACTGGAAAGCACGGACTGCTCGACTTGATGCGATGGGATATATTCTGGAAGCTGCGAAGACAAGAGTCGGACGCATGTATGCACTGCAGATGCACACACTGCCAAGGACAGCATAGGGTGAGTGCATTCCGATGATGGAAGCGTGGGCACGAACAGCCCTAGATATCCTGGGCATCTATTGAAATGAGGCAAGCTGTGAAGGACCATAGAACGCGGCGCCATAGACGCAATCCCTCCAAAGTTTAGCCTCGCCCATATTCCATATGATCAACATCCAGTAATATTTCAGAGCTCATTACAATCACAACTCCCCTGCGATGGTTCAATGGCCATGAAGAATGAATAACTGCAGTCGCAGTTTTCTCCGATAAACATCGGATGGTTACGGGCTCGTACGACGCAACACTTCGTCTGTGGGACTTAAAGACAGGCATTGCATTGAAGAAAAGGGAGGGGCATCGCCATCGGGTGTGGAGATTCGCGGTATCACGAGATGGGCAATTGATAGATAAGGCAAGGTCATCATCTGGCACGCAGAAACTGGCGAATTACTCACCAAAATCGAAGCACACTCCAATTGGATCCCCTCGTTAGATTTTTCTCCCGATGGAACAGCACTGGCCACTGGTTCATATTTCGAAACAATGACAAAACTGTGGAATACCAAAACCTAAGAGCTGCAAGGAGATCCAATTGTGTGCCATGCATTTGTCAAATGTGTATGGTATTCACCGGTGTAAACAAATACGACGAAACGAACGTTCGGCATCTTCAGCAACTGCTAAAAATACTCGGAATTTGGAAGAGACGGGAAATAATTGATTAGACGAACATGTAAGGAAATAGTGAGACTGCGAGCTAGCCAGTAGGAAGATGAAGAAGAAAAGATGACGTAGGACGTTGAAGACCAGCTCAATTAAACTCTCCACAAAAATGCGGAGAGAAAAACAGATACGACAATTGTAGAATCATATTGGGTCAGTGGAGAAACACAGGGATGCAGGTTATTGTACATTAAAAACACTCGCATTCATGATACTACTACTTTGAAGGAAGATCAGAATGGCTTGAAATAGTGCAATTGCAACTCACTTTGACAGGGTGGGGTGCGCTGATGGGAAAGCGGCGAAGATAATGACCGCATGAAGGCGAATAGCATATCATATTATATTGGCAATTTGGCATGGAGGTAGGGAGGATTGCTGTTCACATTTAGTTTATAATTGATAAAAGGCAGTAGGGTCGATGATGATGCTGACTTCATTGCATCTGAATCATAAATTTCAGTTCTTCAAGGGTTTGGATGAGCTGAGCAACGTTGGGTGCAGTAGAGAGTAGAAGGAGGAATCTGGCTGTACGAGAGGAGGTGTTGTGAAGAGAAGCAGCACTGATAGTGTTGTCACGGAGACTAGTATTGTGGTTCGTGATGGCTATAGCAGTCTCACAGTCATCCGAGGCAGTAGCAGCGTGCGCTGAAATGGTCTGAATATTCATGGGACTAGGTGTGCCAGTGGGGGTGAGGCACGAGTGCCACAGAGCCCGAGTCACTAAAATTGGGTCACATGGCGTCTCCGAAGTTTCAGGAGATGTACGTCAGATATTTCTCGATCCGCAGCTCTACTATTAAATTGCCATGACGAAGCTGCCCAAACTCGAACTGTACTATCACTGGTGGGGTTTTTCAAAGGTTTTTAATGTTTGAAGCGTAGCACACTCGTCAAGAAGTTGTTTTTTTCCACTTCTTGACAGACCTGTGGGAAAAATCGTGCTCTATCACACCCAGGTGAAATCTGATTTTTTTGCGATGATGTTCGAGCGGCGGAAGGAATCCGGTTGTGCGATGTCAGTTTGGCAGGGACTGGATATGCTGTTTCAAAATTTGTCACAGCAATGTCACACTGGAGTTTTATAGCTCCGCAACGGTACACTTGGCAGAATTTTGAATCTCGATATCTGAACGAGCGTCGAATCGAAGGAAATCAAAGATTCTATGGATTCGTGCATGTACATTATATAGACCAGCTATCCACAGTAAGTAAATCTAAATGTATGTATGTGCATTAAGTGGAAAGGATATGATAGTAATAGATTGAAAGTGAGTATGTTCACAAAAGTGTATAATCAAAGACTGGATGTAGGATAAATACCAACGAGGATTAAACTCACAGTCCAGGTCATTGCGCTGGTGAGTGCTAGTGATGACCTGGCCCATCTGGAGGCTGCTATAAGATACACCTCCCCTGTCGACGGATGTACAGTTTTTGAGCAGAGATTATAATTGATGCTGCAGTGCGGCATCCACTCTTTCAACAACTTCACTGATAACATGGTTCTGCCCTCACTCAATCATGATATAGAAATCGCAGTGGTAAGCATCATTTGTATAAGGACAGAGATTGTTTTCACATAGTTTTTGTCCTGTTTGACAAAGTATATAGATTGTAGCATTACAATCATTAACATTCAGTGGTGTGACATATTCCAATGGATGATTTATTGTGAACACAATTGCTCGATGTTTTCTATAGGATCTTCACAGCTGTATTCTATAGATACTAGAGAACACTGGCTAAAATCACAGAATATTTTTGTGCAGTGCGTAGCTTGCGATATGATGATCAGCGAATTTTGAAACCCAATACCATTTTGAAAAACCCCGTCAGTGATAGTACATCGATGTTTGTTTGTTGTTATATAATTCTAAAGGCCTTGCACAACTACCTCATCACGTATTTCAAATTATTTGTTCCACTCAGCTCGGAAAAACATGATACAAACTGATCTCATCCAGAGCGCCCACAATGATCTTCTGACAGAGCGTAGCTTATGATTTTTATGAGCTTCGCTTGGCTACTTGCAGTCTCAACCAGAGGTACGTTAATCCCTTACTGTATATACGTGTTTCCTACAAGTTGACCTGCGCTGATGTTAAAGAATCAAAGTCTGGCAAGTAGACGAGACAAGAGTAATGGAAATTGGAACGTCGAAGATGACTGGAAGGCGAGTATGTTGGAAGACGCGTATCTGCGCTTATCAACCAATTAATGCCAGGCTCACGACGCTACAGTCTTCAAACTGAGCTGGGCTCACCCAGAATTTGGGACCATACTCGCATCCGCATCTTTCGACCGTACAGTCAAGATTTGGGAGCAAACTAGCTTTGCATCAACAACTGATTGCCAAACGAATGGTGCTGATGCCGGGTCTCAGGCTGCTTCATGTGGTTCCTCAAGATGGGTGGAAAGGGCCGCATTGGTTGATACAAGAGGCACTGTCCGTGCAGTCGAATTTGCCCCTCGTCGTTTTGGGTTGAAGTTGGTATGTACGTGATAGTATGTCAGGCGTTCCTCCCATTTAGAGATTCATGAGACCTTCTGCAAGGCGACTGTCTCTTCCGATAATCATGTTCGCATCTACGAGTGCTTGGAACAATCATCGCTAGCCACATGGCAGCTTTCAGAAGAAGTCGATTTCTCAACGCTCCCATCTGTATCACCGTCCTCATCATACTCCGTGGCGTATGCGACAGCGACACAAACAAGCGCAACTCTTGAGGTTGTTTCTGCAACCGTGGTTGCTCAAGCCCTGCAACAATCGTAAAACCCAGCCACTCTCAGGGACGACCCGGAATGGGGAATTGATGGAGGGCGGTATGTATCATGGTGTAAACGTAGATATTGGGGGGAGATCATTGCGGCTGGCTGTGGCATATCTGGCGCTATCAAAGTATTGTCACACTCCATTTTTGTGGCATCGCTCACTCTGAATCGCAGATTATACAATTATCTCCCTCTCGTCGCATTCATCCTGGACGCGACACGTCACTTTCTACCTGGGCGGCCAGCACATCCTCAGCGGAGACGATAAAATGATCTCAGAGTGGGCAGTGCCCAATTCAAAGGCATGTTTCCATCCTAGACTCGTGTACCATAATTCGAGCACGTTTCATGCAGATCCCAGCCATCACAACAGCCTGCGATGCATGCGTAAATGAAGACTTACCTATCTCCGAAGAACTATTCACTCAAGATATCAACACCGATCCTGAACAACCATACTTCCTACACTCATCGTCCAATAGTGAAAACACGACTGGGAACACACCCATCAGGATGCGATCAATGTGAGATCCACTAATCTATCATCGCCCCCTTATGAAAGACTAACTCGACGGTAACATAGTCCATCAGCATTCGGCCATTATCGATAGGCTTTCCAAGGGCATTTTCCTCTGCGGAAAAGGCCATGTCCAGGATGCGAGGGCAGCATTTTATGTTGTATTTATGTACAGTTCCCGTCCAATTTGTTCAGTCTCGATGCTACATATACTTATGATGAACCTTTTTTGTGGTGCAACTGATGAGTGTGATGTTTATAGGGCCTGGAATTTGTCCATGCATGATTCTTACGAGTCTGAGTCCAGACACTAGCAGCTTCGAGAATTTGACGTACATCATCACAGACACCTCCATCGCGCTACATTTCTCAGACGTCATTGAGAAAGTAATTATGGAGGTATGTATCACTGTATCACTCATGTTAGTCGATCGCACTACTGAACCCTTCGCCACAGTTCCGGACCCAACGCTCATCCGACAATTTTCTCACATCGCTCTACAGTGGCTGGCTGCTGAAGGGCCTACGTGTCGTAGTTTCATCTGAACAGGCAACTGCGCTTCATGAAGATGAGTTCATGCTCTTAGACAACATCATCTGCGTCCCAGATGTAGAAGCTCCAGCCATTGCCCGGACTTCCCAGGAATCGGAGGCTGAGACTGCAAAGCCTACGCTAGGGAAGCTCGGATGGTCTATCGAGAACTGATGATCTAGAAGGGTAGAATAACGTGGAGCGTGAGGAAGGAGCTACGCTATGTCCAGGTCTCTGCCTATTGGATTTCCTTCCACCCGCCATGTTTTTGTGTTCCAGAGCTCTACTGCATTGTCCATCTAGCCACTTGCCAGAAATGCGCTATCTGGAGAAAAGTCAAGCGAGAAGATCTTGTTGGAGTGGACTTTGACTCGGATGGGCTGGGTGAGAGATTCGCCGTCCCTGTTCCAGGCTATGAGCTCCCCGCCAAAATCACCGCTTGCTATGAATTGCCCGTCTCTCGATACATCAGCTACTCGTATGCCCCAGTGATGTTCCTCCATTATCTTCAATACGACACCGTTTTCTAAGTCCCACAGACGAAGGGTCCTGTCGTACGAGGCCGTTACCATATGGCGTCCATCGGGGGATCCTGCAACTGCAAATACACTATCTCCGTGGCCTCTAAATATTTGACTAGCCGTGGTGATTCGGATGGCAGGATGTTCTTCCTCCATCATTCTGCTCGAGGTGGACTATGTGGAGCACAATTTGCTGGAGAGCTTGTGAGTGTCTTGATCCAAGAGGTGCAGTGCCTTTTTGCTTATTCACAGCCTCAATCTGCATATTAGACGCCCAGGGCATCAGGCACTTGGACCGCTGCGAAGTGCAGGTCTCTCCTAGTAAGTATAATTCCCATGCGATTCGTGAATTTCAACGATAATTGATTTCGATTAGGACTCGGAGGCTACTTAGTAGTAAATATGTGAGCTACAGTATGTAAGGAGAGCTAAATGCAAGTTATTGACGATGTGCAAAATTTTGCTGATAAATGAGATTTTCCAGGCAATTTTTTTTTACTCCTTCCAAACATGGACGCCTGTTGTCGTCAATGCTATGTTGGCTGGTGAGCTCGTCGCGATATCTTACTGGTGCTGACTTGACTGAAATATTATGCAAGTCATCATGACGACTCGGATATATGCCATGTTTCAGCAATCGAAACCGATACTTATCTTCCTCATTGTAGCCTTACTGGCTTCCACAATCGCCTCCGGAGTTATGCTAGGCATAGGAAACATTGGTATCTTGGCAGGGAGTAAGCTTTGATCATTGATAAAATCCTTAAGCACACGAGACTCACGGACGGATACCAAGGGCTAGTAACAGCGCCAGTGATTGCACTCGAAGTAACGGATGCCGTTGTGGAGGCCGTTGGTGCTGAGAGAACGGGGTTCCGAATGAGCCCCTGGGGCGTACTCAATGGTACGTCCCACATCATTCGATACTAGCGATCTTTATTCAGCTGACTTGTAGTGCAGGTATGGGCATGGCAGACCCCAAACCCCAGTTCTCCTACGTGGTTGAGAAGCTGTGCAAACACAAACTTGCATACATCCATGTCATGGAGCCGATGCCTGCTGAAGTCACTGCTGAAAAAAATAGTGATTTCCTCCGTGACATCTGGCAAGGTGTGAGGGCAGTACCTTCATCAGCACACATGGATATACCCGCAACACCGCAATCGAGACGGTAGACAAGAAAGGCGGCCTTATTGGATTTGGGAGGTTGTTTATGCCGAACGTGAGTCACTTGTTTCCCAGACTAGGCAGTGACCGATATGTCCCCTTTACTAGCCCGATCTTCCACTCCACCTGCGAAAGGGCATCGCGCTTGAGCGGGGTGACTGGGCAACATGGTACATGGGCGGTAATCTCACACCGGCAGGTTATTCGGATTGGCTCTTTGCGCCGGAGAATGATCAGCAATAGAGCAGGAATAGTTTTGTAAGTAATATACCTCAGAATAGATGTTACCTTAGTGTATACACCCAATATCATGCTTAATCTTTATTTCAGTCTATCTTGCGGTATGACTTGACTGGCGACAGTTCGTCGAGTTTTTGACCAAGAGGGATTTTAAGTCAAGCAACCGTCGAGCTCACACCCTTCAAGCGCGTCACTGGCGTCGACCCGAGTTCCAAGATGATGTTCCAAGATGATCAAAGTTGCTCAAGGTACCTTCAAGAATACGCCAACGAGCACTGGTCAATACGAGTACATACAGGCGAGCGCAGAGAATCTAACATTCTTGGAGGATAGCAGCGTGGATCTAGTCATTTCCGGTGCGTGTTACATGTTAGAAGGAGAAAGTAATACATGTTCATGATGACTTTGTGATTGTAGCCCAGGCATTGTACACGCCAGCACTGCGTTCTGGAAAGGACAAGGACAACTGAGATGCTGGTGTTTGCTGGGCTACACGCGACTAGCTACAACCAAAGTCCCCCGGGGACTGCCGAACCCCCTGGCACCCCTGCCTCTCGCTCTGCTGTCTCCTGCCGGCCTGTCTCTGCTATGCTCCTGCGCCCGACACGACTACACCTGACAAGGTGTACCACTACAGCATGCCATTGATTCGATTGCAACAAAATATGGCCTGAGGTCGCAAGAGTGCTGAGGAAGAATGGAAGCGTTGCATTCTGGGTATGTGTTCTCATCTCCGAGCTATTACATGTCCTGTTACACTTACCATTTACTTAACTAGGGCTACTCCCAACTGCGCCTCGCCCGCTATCCGTCACTCACACCGAGAATTAACGCTTACGTCGAGGGCACTGACCCACTGAACAGCATTGGCTCATACTGGGAGCAACCCGGCCATGCGATTTTAGATAACCACTTGATTGAAGTGCCAGATGCCAATGAAGTTGTACCTGGCGCGTTCAGTGATTTCGAGAGAGTCTTCACTACAGGTCTGTCTTGTATCGTTACGCGACACTTCAGCTTTACTAATGCATCGCAGGCGACTACTACCCATCTTCTAGATGCGCTTTCAGAATTGAAGAAGCACATCTGGCGTAGTTGGGGTTGACTCTGCGGGCTCGGAGGTCAGTCACCTGCTAAGAGCTCGAAGACATCAACTGAGAGCCATGACATCATCTTTGACATGGAGCTGGAAGTTGATGATGATTAGCCTGACTCGAATACTGTTGTGAAATTTGTGTCACTGCGTCTGATTTGCGAAGTGTCTGATTGGTGTACATACTTGATTGTTATATCGATAAACTGTTTGCTACCAATCCATTGTCATTTCTCAAACTCCGAAGTTGAAGTCGGGGACTAGTGCTTCCCAGCGCCGCTATAACTGATATAAACGAGCGTGTTTCGCATAGCCGCCTACTATCATTACTAGCAATGCAATTGGACCATAACTCAGACGTCCTCGATGATAAATTACCTGATTAAGGATTCCCATTTATGTTGCGTTAGGAGTATCACCATGACAGACTCGGAATCCCACTAAACTTTCTATTCTCTCCCTGCCTTGACTCCAAGTCAGACCTCAGGCCGCTTGGGCCGCACTCAAGCCCCAGGCTGAAATTTAACAATTTCTCACTGGTAGGCTGCACGTTGCTCACTCTCAGAGCGTCAATTTTTCTCAGACTTTCAAAAGCGGAGTCCGAGTCAGCCATCGCCCAGTGCCAGCGAACGGCAATGCAATTTTGTAAGCATGCTGGCTTACCTGGGTTCTCATAATCAGTACATATACCGTCGCTGATACTGAAAGCTAAGCTTTCAGTATTTCACCTTTTGGTGTAACGGTTATGCGTGGCGGCGGTCTGACCATGTTACAGCTATCACCGTTGCTGTGACCTTGGCGAGAACTTTCAGACGTTGTGCTTCGGTCCACCCCATCTTCAGATATTTCAAATGTAGTGAGTCCACATACATAACCATCCGACGGTCATCTGCCAGAATGAAGTGAAACTACCGGAGGTAGACACAATTGAGGCTTACATTGCAGATATGTTATTGATATTGGGACCCACAAAAACAATAAGGACAGGCTGCAATAAGCTTGATTGCACAGAATCCGTTAAAGTGGAAGTTCCAAGAGCGGGGAATCATTGGTATGCTCTACGTTGAAGAGAAGCCTCACGAGTCCGAATGGATGGTCCAGTATCTTCAGTTACCGAGGGTTCAGAAGCTTCTTCAATAATCTGTGACAAGAACACATTTGAAAATGAGAGGGCATTTCCAAGTAGAGATGACATTATCCGTGCGACATCGAGAGCGGCGAGTTGGCTATTGTCAAACAAAAAAAACAAGGGATTGCTCCAAGCGCCCTTTCGTGGACATGCAGGAGAAACCTCCGCTCGGCAGCTGACCGGAGTGAAACATTGTCTTTCATGCTAGGTTTCAGTAATGCATTACACTAAAGTACCAGTAGCTGAGGTAGATGTGAGCGGACAAAATTTGGTCCAAGCAGCATCAGCGATGCAATCAACGTCCAGGCAACTTCAACCTCTACTGCTGCGATATGAACATCATGATCACTAGTGAGCTTAAGGAGTTGAGTGGTGGTGTCGAGAACGCCGGCTGACACGTCAAAAGACACGTATAGGGGGCGATGTGGCACAATGACGACAAGAGCTGCCAAACCATAGGAATGACCAAGTGTCTGGCGATCAACGTCCGAAGGAGCTGCAGGAGATTGAAGGGATTCGATGTCGCGTTGTAAAGACTATGCGATCGCCAACGTTGCCTTCAGTAGACGGAGGAGGGGTAGAATAGCAGAAGCAACGGAGGGTGCAACTCACATTGACGCGAACTGAGTGGCTTGGATGTGTAAGCAGCATCGTCAATGGTGCAGAGACAGCGTCCTATGCCAAGTTTAGGTTTATATCAAAGTTGCAACTTTGCAGGACTTACCTGAACTGGCGGAGGTGCATGGCTTAGTTGTTGCAACAGACCTGCAACCTCCTCCAGCGCTATCGTCAGGATAGATGAAGATGGAGCTACCTGCCCCGGCATTGATGCTGGCCATCTTTTCAAATATGATGAGGAAAGTAGTACGAATGCTGACCGGTCAGCGTTCGTACTACTATTAGCTCTCGTAAAAGAGCGCCGACTAGCTTCCGGATGAAGAGTTTGCCATATCTTGTGGCTCCATTCTTGGGATAGGATATGATCTCAGTCATGAGATGACCAACAAGTAGAGAATAATTGGCTCTCACAAATACTGGCCCAAGCTTTGCCAGTAGTGTGACGTAAAACATGAAGATTTCCACACGAGTTTGCGGCTGAGAGCTCTATTAAACTGGGTGGAGATTTGTGATAGAATATCTCCTGGCGTCAAAAGGATTTTGGTATTTTCGGCCACAATATTAATATGTGCAGCAGTAGAGATATCAGAGTCTTCTTGTTCCTTCTTGCCTTTTTGTGACTGCTCTGTGACTGCCACGGCACGTTCCATTTGGGTGGCCGCAAGCATATGTCCCACTAACTGCGCCAGCGATTGCGTTGTCACCCGGTCACCGTGTTCAAGACTTTTAACGCAAATATTAATGATCGACTCCACATCTGCAAGCATGACGGAGTCTTCGGGAGTATAGATAATCGTTAAAACCTGCGCATGTTTCAGTTCGCAAAATGCAATTCACAGGCAAGAATCTCACAGCATGTAGGTTCGGCAATCTCTCTCAGCTCCTGTCGCAGATGCAGAAGGAGTATGGAGTTTTCGCACAGCATTTCGTGACTACCTTCGCCAAGTCGAGCTAGGCTGGGCAAGAAATGCCCATACCAATTCTTCCAGTTTTTGACAGAATGGTTCGCGTTGGCCTTCAATCACTCAGATTATGCTGATGTTCTCGTCCCCTGTAAGCGGTGCCACCTCATTCCTTCTCTCCCTCGCTAGAAACCGCACAAAAATGACCTTCCTCAGTTCATCAACACTGCGTTGCGCTCCTGCATCCTTGTTACGTCCACTACGTCCATTGACACGATATAGAAATCCCACCTGGCTCGGCGCTTCGGAGCCTCTAAGATGATGTCAGTCCTCAGCCCATCGTCGTCTGCCACCCCAATGTCAAAAGCATCAAGCAGTTATGAGACTCTGGTGAGCACCCTCGTGCCCCGCTAACGCCTAGTCTTGCAACGCTCTTGATAAGCCACCGTCGCGAATGACCCCGGAGGATGTTCTATACATTTAAAAAACATATTAGCTCGAATCGTAGATGCAGATGATGTGACCTGGCCGAGATGGGATTGAAAATGACGGTAAACGCAAGGGCAAGCCACGCAACGCACGGAGTTAGAACATCTCAAAAAACAGAAGAAAGCGCGTACGCTGAACAGTAGACTGGCGTAGTACTTCTGGCGACGTTGCCCAAGTTCATTAAGATGCTCTTTGAGCAGCCTGCCGCGGTGGAGTGGGGTACCCCTCCAGCGGGGGGTGGCACAGGCAGGCGTTTGTTACCATTTGCGTGGCTTAGTCAGTAGGTAGAGCCTTCAGGCATTGTCGTAGGTAGCACTATCATCAGGTTGAGGCCACACCAGCTTCCGTCTGCCAGAGGCAGGCACGTTTCCAGCCGCGCCAGTCCAGCGGTCTCGCATTTCCTTCTCTCGTTCGGAATAAACAGAGTCGACTTTCTCTAATGCGGAATCTAACAGCTCAAAAAAATTTGCATGAAGCGGTGGTAGTAGAGGGTGAAGCGTGCGTAAGAAGGCAGGAGCTGGGGAGCCTGCTGATCAAGTGAGGTTTCTATGCAAGACGCTGAAAATGCTTAAACTGACCTGCATTGCGGAAGAAGGGGAATACGGGAGGTGAGCGCGCAGACTTTGGAGGCAAGGGAGTCACCCGCGATGACGAGCCTGTGAGATGAGAGAGAGGCAGAGCGCTATGCATTAAAATTCTGAGCGATGGACCTGTCAAAACCCCTCTGTTGAATAGAACTTAGCAGACGATGTCGAAACTACTCACGCATCTGGCTATCCCTTTGCTGGGTTCGAGTTGGGGAAAGAGCTGAAGTCCCTTCAATTAAAGCATCTTGTCGTAGGATGACTGACAGCTCTCAAGAGTGAAATGAGTTGGTGGAAACTTATTCAGAATAGGAGACGTACCGCTGCACTCTTTGGCTTGCTTTTGAACTTGATCAACGTCGGCGGCTCCAGCGGAGCTCTGCCCGGCAATGCGTTCTGAGCGAATTGCACCAATGCACCTCTTGAAACAATGATAGTCACTGAAAGAAAAGTGTAGTGAAATGATGTTAGCGGAGGCGATCAATCAGCACATATAAAGCGCACGTATGCCTTTTTCCACTCGGGAGTCTGCAACGAGATATTAGTCTATACATCACCAATATTTTGGTTAGTCTGAATCAATAAACACCATTAAAGTATCAGGCTGCAGTCAAAAGACGTCATACGAAATGAACGCGAGTAGGGGTATGAAAGTCCGGACGTCGACCCACCGTGCAACCTTCATCACTTCTTGTGAGTTGATGGACTTGGTTGGTTGTGATGAGGGGCGTGGTCCGCACAGGATGGTGGTAGTAATTTTCCACTGACAACGCAAGAGCAAACGAGTCGTTAAAAAGGCTTGAGGAATAGGGGATGCGCCAGGTTTCAAGTAACGTAGAGATTAACAAAATAGAGTAGATAAAAAGTATGATATTCTGAAACGGCGCTCCGTGCATCCAAACCAGAATGCTTGTCAAGGCCAGAGTAAGCTATGGGGCGCACCAGATCTAGCTCAGATCTTAGAGGTGCGCCGCGCGCCGGGATCTAGCTCAGATCTGAAATAGCACTCCATGCACCCAAACCAGAATGCTTGTCAAGGCCAGAGTAAGCTATGGGGCGCACCAGATCTAGCTCAGATCTTAGAGGTGCGCCGCGCGCCAGGATCTAGCTCAGATCTGAAATAGCGCTCCATGCATCCAAAGTTTCCAGAGCGTCAAGGTAAAACAAGAGGTGCAAATTTAGATGCTGCAGATGCAGCTCATGATGCCTGCAGATGCAGCGTGCGATGCCTGCAGATGCAGTTTAAGCGCTACAGACACAGTTTAGGTGCTGCAGAAGCAGCGCTGGGACCTGCAGATGCAGTTTAGGTGCTGCAGAAGCAGCGCTGGGACCAGATGCAGTTTAGGTGCTGCAGAAGCAGCGCTGGGAACCACAGATGCAGTTTAGGTGCTGCAGAAGCAGCGCTGGGACCTGCAGATGCAGTCTATGTGCTGTGGAAGCGTTGGGAGCTGCAGGTTGGATAAATCGACATTCACAAACAATCAACAATCATAAGACCAAACAACTGATCAAATATATCGAGTGACACCATAATATTTATTCTGCTGTCACGTGACATCTTTTCTTGTCGTTCACATACGGCCTCCCATATGGCAGGATACTCCGATCTGAATCTGAGTCTACTCATCATCAATCTTCGAGCTCTTAGCAGGTGGCTTGCCTTGGCGCTCGTCAGCGGCCTTCCTTTATCCTTTCAAATCGTGGAGAGCATTCTTCGGGTAGGCTTCGCATATAAGTTGATATGCATGGGAGCCATTAGCGTCACAACTGTTGGGAGATGATATTGATCTGATCTCAGCCCTGACGTTCCAAGCGATGCTCCAATTCTTTTGCAGGTAGCAAAGCCCACAACAACGATTGATAACTGACGCAACGGTCACGTTTCAGAATATTATCATGGTCTGGTTCGTGGTTGGTCCCGCAAGAAATTCAAGACCGATCGTGCGTAATATCTTTGTTTCGCACAATCATAGCTGATATGTCATTCAGCACCGTTACGGATGCTTAGCTATGCACCGTTAACGCTGACGTTTCCCTTCGCACTTATGACAAATCTTTTGGTCACATGCATGTTAGGCGCACCTGATTATGCGTCAGGATCCTCGTTATTTGCAGGTGGTGCCGCCGCACTCATGGGCTTGTGCTAATGGTTGCCACGCTAGTGCTGATACACTGCATCTATGTTACTGCATCAATGCAGGAAGGAAGCATTCGCTGCTGCGAGTATATCTTGGATTGGCTTTGGAACATCACTTATAATCACATTCTGCTCGAATACGAGATATGGCCTCGGACCACAGCTCAATCACAACCTCAAACTGCAACTCCACCACAACTGCAAGCTCAGCCGCGTCCGTCGTTATCGGGTCGACCCGAACAGGCATCTCTGACTGGGGCACAGCGTCCAACAGTCGTCTGACTTGTCTCTCCTCCGCGATCCTCATTGTGCGTCAGCGGACGATAAGAACCTTGATGAAGATGAAGAGCACAGCGAAGGGTTGCAGCTTTTCCCAGGGTCTGGGCTTTTCTAATACGAGTACTTAGAACTGGGCGTTCGAACTTGTTTATTTCAGAGGTAGCCAAGGCAATGCATGCTGCGGCTGACGCAAATCTTCTTATGAACTTGAGCTTATTGCAGTCGACCGACCCTTTCATTGCAACCAAGTGCGTCGTTCAGTCTTTGTCCACTGAATTCATGTGTGAGTAGGCATAACAGCCTACGGGCGTCAACGACACAGGCTGGCATCACGTGAAAAAGCTTGGAGGGCATTTGACTGGCGTGAGGATCAACGAAGAAGCAGGTTTCAGTGCAGAGTACGCATGAAAGACAGTACGATGAAGGGAGATGGGAGGGAGCAATGATAAGGGGCACAACGAGGGTTGGCGAGTCTGAGAGGACGAGGGCCCAGCGAAATAATGGAGACATATGGGAAGTAAACGGAACAATCTCTGTGCAGAGAATGGTAGTGAGAGGGTGATTTTTGTGTTCGACTAAGCCCTCCTCCGCTAATGCGGGAGTCGGGGACTTATTTGAAAAAAGGTAGTATCCGCCTCGCGATGATAATCATGAAATTTGTGCTTGAGCAAGCGCGTTGACGGCACTGCGGTCGCGATTTTCTTCAACTGCTTACGAGATGCCTGCGCGGGCAAGCTCGCAACATGTGGTTGAGAAGTGGACGGAGACCAGTCAGTTATTTTCAAACAAATTGAGTAGTGAACGTCTTCAAAGTGTAAAGTGCGTGGGCGACCACGAATTCCGTACTAGGCTGCGCACCGCTCTCCCTCCATGGTTTGAGAAACTGCCAGAGGGTTCTCTCGGAGAATCCAACACATTCAAGAATCTGCTCTAGGGATAGGATTTCATTGTCATAGAGATTGACAGTTGCTAGTTTTCTTCCGAAAGGGCGCGTTGGAGGTTTGCGGCAATGCAGTATGCATGGTACTTTCCAAATATGGTGAACAATAATTTATTTTCTCATGATATCGGGGCTGCCAACCTTTTTGCAAAATAGCTGTAACATCGTCTTTGTTCCCTCTGCTGTACTGCATCACGAAATAAAACTCATTATCATTGCGCTGCTTTGTTTAGGGTCGCTAGTGCATCCTCCCATGCTGCCACTCCAATGTAAGCAGGGGTATTCTCATCACTACTTATCTTCCTCACAGTTGCCTCCCCCCAAATCCCAAACACCAAGCTACTGCCGTCCTCATGTCGTGCTCATCTTGGCAGTATGGGAGCGGACGTTAGACGGGAAAAGCGAGCGAGCGGTACAATCACTGATGCTGGCGCTGGCTAACCTACAGAATGGTCGTCCTTGGGGCCTGGACT